CCTAGAATCCTCAGTAACTTTCAGTGCACACCATCGCCCATCATCAACATGAGATACTATACGTTTTTCTTTGTTTGCCCAAATGCCTATTAAAAATAATTTGGGCAGCAATGTCAAAAGGAAGTAACCCAGTGGTGGCGCTTGTTGTGCTTTCACCATCATTTCACCATTTCCACTGCTGCACACAAGCATATAGAATACATATGAAAACGTACCGTTTGACGCTTTGAATGACTGAGGGGCAATGAGGCCACCATCATTTGGTTGATGTACGCGTAGAGTTGTATCCTAAAGAATGCAAGTTAAAAAGAGATAGTACAGGCTTGGAAAACTCTATTAACACATAAAAAGTCGGAGAAGGCCATGGGATCCTCCCCCCACTTGTCCTACAGGTGGCCCTGAGTTAATTTTTAGGGTGCTGACCACTTCAGTTTCTTAATTTTAACGCTAACCTTCATTCTACACCCAATCCCAACCGCAAACCTCCCATTACTACTTAATGGAAAGGTGTCCCGGCCAATCAATCGCTTCAGTCGGTTGGTTCATATGTTCAAACGTTGTCAGGGGTGCAAAAACCTGCTTCCCGAATAATCTATTAGCTTGTCATATCTATCTCGAAATATCACCGACCAACATGTTGCATCAAAGAATAATAGAAGCTTCATCCTACTTAAGCAGCCATCCTTTGCCGAGTGCAGTTTTTGCAAGTAGTCGAAAAGCCGTGCATGCAAAAGACAACAATCAGGCGTGTATAAAACATCTCCGGATTATGGTGAACATAGTTTTTGCTGGTCTGGGCCCCAGGTGGGCTTAATAGCCGGCGACTACCGTATTTGCATTTATTTTTCATGCGACTATATGTATGTTTTGGTTACCTTAAGGGTTTTAAAGTCTTGTGTGCGTACAGATTAGATCAAAACGAGATCTCGTCAAGGAAAGAAAAAGTCTTTGTCTAAACAGAAGCCTCCGTTTTTATCGGCCCTTTCGGAATATGTTTCAGTCGCATATGGGAGCCCTGATTACTGGTATAATTTTTGTTGGACAAAGAGCCAGTTTACTCAAAAATTAGAGCAGCTTTGGCTGAGAGTAGTTAAATATCATGTAGCAAAGGGCTTCTCTGATGGTTTATTATGTTTCTTCAGACTTAGGGATCAACCTGCCAGAATTTCGATTAAAATTTCACGAGATCGGCCATTAGCTGCACTTTTTGTAGGTCCCCTCTAGATATTTATCCTCCCCGCCAAAGTGCTTAACGTATTTTGTGGTCGAATATTTAACTCTTGGCTAGTGAGTGTAAATGAGTATATAATAGTGGCGGAAGTGCTCAAAAAGTATTAAATTAAATAAGATTATCCTTGTTAAAATATACTAAAACAGAATAAAATTCTATCAAAGTGAACGCCCGTTGCACAGGGTATGGCTGCTTATTGAGGGAAATTCGACCTTATGTAGGCGGAATTTAACAAACATGGAAATTCAAAATCGGGCCACTGAAAACTTAAAAATAGCTTTGTTTAGGACCTCTTAAGTCAGTCCTGCCCTATTTTTATACCCTTATCGGAATACAAGAGACCAACGTGGTACGTTCCAATCGCTAGAAAATATAACTTCGACGCACTGGGTAATGCATTTATTAGTTGAGTTAGTTGAAGCTTATGACGAATTCAGGTAGTTGCGGTTGTACCTTAACCGATTGAAAAGGCAATATTTTCAAAAAAAGATAATTACTCTGAGAAGACATAAATGGGCGACATACTGTGAGCTCTGGATTTCCGGCAGACACTCCTGGTTTTGGCATGAGCCCTTGACTTGCCTTCAGAAAGAAACGATTTTAAGAAAGATCGGGAGAAATTAGCAATATGTGATGTTATCTTGCTAGCACTTGGACTGTTTTCAAAAAGAAATAATTTGATAAAGTTCAGGAGAAATTAGCCAGATATGGTGTTATCTTAGTGAGTACCATCTCATCTGCGAATTTCCTCTTTTTTATACTTGTCTTCGGCACGCACGTAATTTTAGAAATTCCTGGGTGCCCCGGAAGCCCAGTCCTAAACGAGCTGTGTCTAGCGCATATGCAAGGCTGATAAAAGGAGAAAAACACACGATTCCATGGGTCAAAAACGTATTGAAGACTTTCGGTCACTTTTTCGCACCACTTGCAGTTGACGTCTAACACAACTAAGAGGTAACTACTGGACATCAAGGAATGAAGTCCGGGACCTAATAACTTGGTAAGAAACATCAGGAGTCGTTTGTCTAGTGTCGTACAGTTCGAGGCAAATCAACTGCGTAGGTTAGATCGGAAGACAGCCCTGGACGCGAATTATCCAACAAGCGACAGCAGTGCGGAAAAATGCTAGTACTTCGGGGAATCTAACCACGATCGATGAGGCCAAAATTACCACCGCGAGTTGCTTGAATCATGATTTGCGGGACTTCAATCGATTACCATGTGGGATCATCGCGACAACCCCATTTGCTGACGCGACTTTGTTTGGCCAAAGTTATTCCCTACTGGGGGGAGTGACGATTACAGTTCCTACTGCCCGTTCTAGTGAACCAGATAGTCGAGCCTCTAGGGCATGTAATTGTCATAGGCATGCAGTAGCATAGCGAGTGCATTTAACTGTAAGTCCCTGTATACAAATTATCCTTCTCTGCCCATGGATTTGAAAGCGAATATGAAACATCAGACGAATAACGCTCTGAACCCAGCGGTGGCGTTGTAATTTTGATTAGGTCTGCAGCAGGATCTCAAAATATTTCAGACTGGTCAGTATGCCGGCTTTTTAACGAGTTTCTTTTTTTACAGTCTGCGCCTTAAGTAGCACGCATTTTACTCATTGATCTTCGGTGTTCTTTTAAATTCAACCATACTTTATAGAAAACATGCACCGAAGTATTCTTTCTTACACTCGTTTCTTAGTCAATTTACGCCTTCTTCAAACTATAAACTATAATACAAGTACAGCGGTCAAAGGACTGCAACATCGTTCGTCAAAGAGAAACTTTCTGTATAGCCAAAAGTTTCGACTTCTTACATTATAGAATTTGAAGGAGGCGTGATTTTCTGCCATAAAGAGCTTTGTGCATCGTTTCTATGAGATATATATTTGAATTTCGGAGGATGTTGGAGGTTGATGACAAAAATGCACATTGCATGGGTATGGACGTGCTAAAAAGTATGCATCTTGAAGAAAGTCGGAAAGAAGCTCGTTCGTTGGCTGGCATCCTGACGAGACGAACAAATCTCGAGATTGGGCTGCACGCTAGGCAGCATTAATAAGGTCCTTCGGTACTTCGTTGAAATCCTTAACCGATTCCATATTTTTGGATTATATTTGATGAAACAAATAATTTGCTGTATTGCCTATTGAGGTTCAATTGACGGTTTTTGACGGAAAGTGAAGTAAACAGATAGGTAAAGGAAGCGTTTTAAATTTTAAAAAACGACTTGGTTCCCCTACCTATCTCATATCTTATCTTCGTCGCAACAGCTCTCATTCCAAAGGAACAACTAGCAACCTAACCGAGCACGCGTAGTTGG